AAAAAAAAAAAAAACCCACTGTACCTTTATTCTCGGAGTGGCCCCTTCTATCTTGGGGTCAATACCTTTTTCCTGATCAGGTATTAAGGTTGCACTGTGTTTTCTCTGCTGTCGTGTTTGGTGCTGTTGGTTCTGGTGTGTGTGTGTGTGTGTGTGTGCGCAGCCATGCTCACTTTAGTGAGAAAGACCAAATGGCCCACATTTATTCATTTGTGCCTTTATTCTGTTCACTTCTAGATAGTGCTGCTGTCACGAGCTACTCTCCTCTGCATCTGTAGTTTATTAAATGAGTTAGGATGACTCTACGAAATGAACCTTTTACGAAAGTCAATTTTATTTATCAAAATTGTTTATTTCAGTGGTTCTCAAATTCTGGTCTGTAGACTGGTACAGATCCATGATGAAGTTTCCAGTTCTCACTACAGTGAAATGTTTACAATTAAGAAAAGGGTGTGATGCTTCAGAAAGTTGTTTACTTAAATTGTTAAGAGTTAAAATTAATTGTCTGATAAAGGTCAGGCTCTGTGTTACGTACTTGGAAGCAGCATCTCATTTAATCCTCATGCTGTCCCTGTGCAGTAGGGACCATTGTTAAAATCCCCCCCCCTTTTTTTTATTGAGGTGAAATTCACATAACATAAAATGAACCACTCACAGTGTAAAATTCAGTGGCATTTAGTATGTTCACAATGTTGTGCAACCACCTCTGTCTAGTTCTCAAACATTTTCATCACTCCAGAAGGAAACCACATTCCCATTAAGCAGTTCCTCCCCAGTCCTTCTTCTCCCCCGGTTCCTGGAAACCACCAGTCTGATTTTGCCTCTGTGGGTTTATCCATTTTACCATTCTAGATATTTCGTATAAATGGAATGATACAATATGAAGCCTTTTGTGCCTGGCTTCTTTCACTTGGCAAGATGCATTTGAGATTCAACCATGGTGCAGCACGTATCAGTACTTTGTTCCTTTTTATGGCTGAGTAATACTCCACTGTGTGCATAGACCACAAAATCCTCATGTAAAGATCAGGAATTCGAGACTTCCGGGAATAGTCCTGGTGGACCTGGGCTCTAAACCCAGGCAGTTTATGTTCTTGGCCACTGTGCTGTTCTGTCTCTACCTCTTTTTGGTAAAATATCCCTTCCTGCATAGGGAGATGGTGACAGTAGATGGCCATTTATCAGATGGCGTGATGCAGCCACCCAATCGTTATTCATTGGATGCCCCTTTGCCAGGCATTGTTCTGTGCCCTGAAGACATATCAATGAGTAAAACAAAGGAGGACCTCTCAGGGTGCTTTTGTTAATGAGTGAGTTTGTGTGTGTAGGCAATTAACAAATAAACAAACAAGAAACAATCTGATAGTAGTAAACATCAGGAAAGAAACAGAACAAGGGCTGTGAAAGAGAAAGAATGTGAAGCTGTTTAGACTGGGTCTGAGAAGCTTGGCTGATGAGGTGCTACTTGAGCTGAGACCTGAATGGCAAGAAGGAGCCGGCCACGAGAAGATCTGGGATGAGAAAGTCTACAGAAGAGAAATCGACCAGTGCAAAGGTGCCAAGGCACGAGAGAGCGAGCCTCGCTGAGGAGCAGAAAGAAGTCTGAAGCATGGTGAGGGGTGGGGAGGGGGAAGATGGAGGCAAGAGAGACGGCAGGGCAGACCATAGTGGACCTTGTCACGACACTAAAGAGTTTGGACTTCAGTGCCGGTGGAATGGGAAGTCATTGGATTGTTTTAATTAGGACAGTGATATGATCCTGACTTATTTTATTTTATTTTATTTTATTTTATTTTATTTTATTTTTAAAGATGACCGGTAAGGGGATCTTAACCCTTGGCTTGGTGTTCTCAGCACCACGCTCAGCCAGTGAGCGAACCGGCCATCCCTATATGGGATCCGAACCTGGGGCCTTGGTGTTATCAGCACCGCACTCTACCGAGTGAGCCACGGGCCGGCCCCGAGTCCTGACTTATTTTAAAAACGATCACTCTGGCTCCTTTGTGAATAATGAAGCTAAGAAGGGCAGGAAGGGGAGCAGGGAGATTAACTGGGTGACTTTGCCATATTTCAGATGAGAAATGATAAGGCTGGGGTGGTGGAGGCTGGGATAGAGAGAAAAGGTCGCATCTGAGATATGTTTTGCAGGTGGAATGTTAAGACTTGCTGATGGATCAAATGTGAAGTGCGAGTGAAGAGAGGAGTTGAGGACGTTTTCTAGGTTTTGGTTTCACTAACTGAACAGATGGTGATAACATTCACCGAGATGGAAAAGGCTAGAGGGAAGCAGGGTTTGGAGGGGAAAATCAAGCTTTCTGTTTTGGACAAGTTAAGATGAAGGGGCCTTTTAGACATCTATGTAGAAATGTCAGGTGAGCAGTTGGCTGTGTAAGTCTGGAGATCAGTGGAAACGTTAAGGCTGGAGATAGACGTTTGGCATCCTTGGGATGTAGGAGGCATGTAGAGCCATGTATTGAATCAGTCACTCGGGGAGGAGAATGAAATGATAGATCAAGACTGAATACTAGGACACCCGGTGTTCCAACCTTTAGAAACTGGGAAGAAGAGGAGGAGCCCACAAAGGAGTCTGAGAGTGGGTGACCTGGAGGGCTTTTGATGACCTCGTCAGGAGCAGGGTCAGTGGAGTGGTGGAAATGAAAAGCCCGATGGAGTGGGGTGACAGCGGGCGGATGTAGGGATGATGACAGCTCTTTTAAGACGTTTTGCTTTTTAAGGGAGAAAAGAAATGGAGTGGAGCTGTACGGTTTACGGGGGAGAAGGGGATCGTTTAAAGAGAAGCGATTCAAGACATCTATAGTATGTTGACAAAGGGACAAATTGATGGATGCTGGACATGCTGTTGTTGTCCAAACAACAACAAAACAACAGAGCAATGTTTTAATAAGTGCCCCCTTTTAAAAAGATTTTTTCAAGTCCACGAAATTCGGAGCATGTGAGCCACTGGGTTAGGAGAGATCTGGCTACCAAGCTGGGCAGGGCAATAGTGAGGGGTTACTAATAACCACGCATGTGCTGCGAGTCTTATCTCCCTAACGTCCTGGTGGTTTGCTGCCTCTTCACCTTCGAGTTTTTACTTAAATGTCACCTTCACAGCAAAGCCTTCCTTGTCCCTCCCTATGAGTCTTATCTCCCTAACGTCCTGGTGGTTTGCTGCCTCGTCACCTTCGAGTTTTTACTTAAATGTCACCTTCACAGCAAAGCCTTCCTTGTCCCTCCCTATTTAGAATGAATCCACCCAGAATTCTCTACTTCATTTTTCCTGATTTATTTATTTACTTTTGCTCTTTACCTAACATACTATAGATGCCACTTTTGACTGATTGATTGATTCTCTCTCCACTGGAATGTAAGGCTGGAATTCTTTCTGCTTTGTGTACTTCTGTGTCACCAGGGCCCAGAGCAGCACTAGCCACAGAGTACTGTTCAATAAATTGTTGTTGAAATGAATGATTTCTTAATAGTTTTACCTCAAGACTCAGGTGTGATAATGGTAATGTGGAGACAGTGGGGTGCAGAGTGAGCTGAGACCCATCCAGGAGGGCAGCAGCTTGTGCTAGGAGGTGGCCAAGGTGACTATAGAGAGTAGTCCAGACAGGAAGGGGTAAGAGTCCTCAGTCTGCAGCAAACCCAGCAGGGGTCTGGGGACACAAGGCACCAGAGGGCATAACGGGGTCTCACCAGGCAGGTGAAGCACAGCTGTGGGAGGCATGGGGCAGGCCCTCGAGGATGGAGAGATCTGTCCCCGGGCCAGCAGTCAAAGACCAGAACTCTGTTCCCTGCAGAGGGGACTAGCAAGAACAAGGCAAAAAATCCACACCACATGCTGGGATGGGACTGACTGGTAGAGTTCCGAGCCTGGGGAGGGAGCCTGGCAAGGACAGATTAGGATGGCTGGAACCAAATCAAAGCCAAAACTCAATTTGGAGACTAGGAAAGCTGCCACTA